GGGAATTCTGGGAGTTGAAGTCCACATGTCTTAAAGTTGCTGAGGTTGAGAAACAGTGCCCTAAACTGAGATTTTTTTTTAAATCTTCCAGAATAAGCTGTTTTTGTATTGTTGCCAAGAAAACAGTATAGGCTTGTCTGTGTAGCCATGGGGAGTCAAGAATGACTTTAACCTTTTACTAAAAACATTTTCAGCTTTTACTGCAGATCAGTCCTAAACACATATATTTATACATCTTCCTACTGACTGTGCTAGTGGGAGTTAAAGATCCTGATCTGGGATCATTTTGCTTATTTATTTAATTTTTAAAAAATTATACCACTCCTTGATGGCTTTGAGTGGCTTACAAATGTACAAGAAAAACAATGTGAAAAAAATAGGCCTCCAAATCACATGTTTGGAAATATGGTAGGACTATTGATTGATTATGTGCCATGGAGTCAGCATCGACTCTTGGCAGACCACATAGATTTTCTCCATATTTAATGGTTAATATTAAATAAAATATTACTAAATATTTACTAAAATATTAGTTTTATTAAATGATTTGGGTAAGGCTAGTGGCCCTGGGTAATAATTGTCATTCCTGAAGCAAAATGTGGCCCTGTGCAGCAGAGTATTGATGCTACACCCTGAAGATCTGTGTTCAAACACCTGGCAGATTTTGTAGGATACGGACAGGCAATCTGAATACTACAGACAGTCTGAGAGCACATCTCTTCCCCCCTTGCCTTTACAGTCCAAGAAAGTAGGGAGGGTCCCTTCTGAGACCTTTTCCATACTCCCATTCCTTCTGTGGGCTAAGCTGCCTCTTATGTGACAGTTGCCTAGTCCACGGCTCTTCCTCCTGTCTCCCACGGTTATTCCCACATACCACACAAAGGCCTTCTGTGGGGTTTGTACAGCATGTGATTCCAGTTCAGAACTGGAAATCTGTCTTCATAGTTTTCATTTATGAGGCACTGAAATCTTGAAAGAGCTCCCCAACATAAGAAATCATATATTTTTACCATTTACTTGTGATAATGCATAAAACTGTGCAGTGGTGTTCACAGGGAGAGGAGAGGTCAAAAAAGGCAAGATGGTGGAAGTAGCATCATGATGCTGGCCCCACTTATACCTGTTGCAACCTTGTACCCTAAGCTCCACCCCTTTTAAGCATGCATGTGACCTGACACACAGAAAAGGGCTTGCATTATGATGCTGCTTCCACAACATAGACTTTTTTGACCCATCCACACTCCTGATGCTGTTGAATAGTACCTATTTCCTGAAAAAACGGCTTCCTTCTTACATATATATAAAGAGAAAAAGAATGGTTTATTACAGTCATAGACAGCACAAGCAAAATATAATTCCACAATACAAAAAGTTAATACAAAATCAATAAAAGTGCTTATAAATATAATGCATAAACAATCAACTGAATAAACAAATATGGCTAAAATAGGTGATCAACAGAGCCAAACAAGAAATATCTCAGAGCTACTTAAAGGTTGTGCCGTACTGTATAGAGAGTGGAGCAATATTTAGCAATGTTCAGCAAAATAGAGTCAGATTGATCTGATGATAACAACTAGAGGTAAAAGGAGCCAGAACAAGCAGGACACTGACTAAAAGTGGTGATAATGCCTCCTCTGATATAGATAATACTGATCTATATACACCCCAGTGACTTCTAGTAGCTTCCTGTGTTCCTAAAGGTAACTGGACAGACACCATTTCATCTCCCATCCAAGGCTTCTGGAAGCTCATATTTCAGCCAAAAGTGAAAGACAGGGGCATATGTCTCATTTTAGAGCACATGCATTACACACAGAAGATCCTATGTTCAGCCCCTGGCATGCCCAAGAGGGGCTAGAAAATTTGGGGGAATTGTGGTCAATCATTGTAGACAATACTGCTGGGCAGGGCTTGGGTTTCGTTTCCATAAGGAACGTGGGGCACAAATGTAGCATACATCTGTGACTCTTTAAAGCAGCCACTTCTTTTCCCAGCATAGTATAGCCATGTCTTTTCCTGAGATCATGTAGCAGCTGTAGAGGACTCTACCTTTTTGGAATCAAATTCAAAGCCCCAACAGACAACAGGGGCCTGGATGAGCTTTTCCTGTGTCTTCTGCTACCACGTGTACTGATCCAAAAATATAACATGAGACCTCTGCATGTGCACTCCTCTTTTGTATATTCTAATGAAGTGCTTCTCTTTTCTTCCTTTCCATTCATATTCATAAAGCTGCATTGTGGATACAGAACTGAATCAGTCTGAATGCCAGATGTGGGGCTCCACCTAGCCAGAGCGGGAGTGGGCAGATGATCTCCAGGCATGGAGCTTTTGAAAGAGAAGCCCCACCCTCTAGCATCATCACTTCATTTCATTCAAAAGAACTAGGAAGTGATGCTGTTTGCCTCCTCCTGCATGCAGAAACCCTGTACTTCTTCACCAGAATATTGTTTTTTCTTCAAAGGGAAAGAACGTAATCTAGCTAAATACTGACTTGTTAGCTTCTACGATGGACAAAGATGTTGAATGTAGCAGCCTTGATGCAGGCTTGTCATGTGATGATGGAACATATCTTGTTTATTTTCAGTTGGGGCAAGTTT